CTCCAAAGCGAACGAGGGCGCGTGCTGAGGAGAGCCCCGCCACTAATGTGCCGCGGGGGCGGCGGCATGCGAGGTCGGGACCCGACGGCGGCGCTTCCGGTCAACCCCCCGCACAGCGCCGAAGGGTGGAAGAGGCACCTGCGGGACCACAGTGGAACCTTACCACTGCCGTGGAGGAAGTGTTACTGGCGGGTTTCGATGTTACAGAACAAATGACGCTAAACGACTTCATTAGGAGGTATGTTGATCCCGATTTCGTGCTTGAAGGCCGCAATGTAATGATGGGGGTGTTTGCGCGTAGACCTGAGCATTACATCAGGGACGAGTGGCTCCTAGGAGAAATTCTTAATTCACAAGCGTATCAGCTCCTGGAGGACGCACGCAATCTACGTGCCGACGCACGCAATCTTGCGGTCCAAGGCGTGTCTTCTCTCGATCAATGGAAGGAATTTGAACATAAGGACACGGTTACTCTTCTTGCTAAGGGAAAGCTTGACAGGGCACTCGCCGTGGCGAAGAGGGCGGAAAGGTCAGCCTGGATACAGAGAATTGTCAGCCAACCGTTACCGGAGGGATTCTACAACTCTGTGCTCAACGCGAAGTGGAGTCACGTCTTGGGGTTTCCCGAGGGCGAAGGGGATGCGATGGTGGTGCGAATGGAGGTGCGTCAGGGCCAAACACCAACACAATTGTGGGACTACAGGCGGAAGGGCATAAGTTATGAACCGGTGGAAGATGCGCTGCAATTTATTGCACCGCGGCCAAGGCTGCTGGTACTCACCTCTGAGAAGGGCTGGCCCTACTCGCTGAAGCAGAGAGGAGCTTTTGCCGACTGCTACATCAATTATGAGGTGGAGCGTGTGTGGAGGATCGTCAAGGGCGATCTAGAGGGAGAGTTTGGCACCGCAGACCTAAAGGGCTTTGATGTGAGGCGGCGTCTCTTGATTGGGACGCCGGGCATCGGGAAGTCAATGGCTGCCGGCTCTTACCTCCTCTACAGACTGCTCCACTACGACATCGCAAAACTCCAAGTGGTGGTGTACTGCTTTGGGGGAGACTTGGCATTCGTGTTTGACAAAGAAGAGCAGACGGTGACAGCACACGGGGGTGAGCTCAATGTTATCAATGTTATGAATGACTTGGTTTGGCAGCGTAAACTGAAAGGGTATGTTATCTACGACGTGGACAAAAAGGGTGAAGAAACTTCGAAGTATTTTCCGCCCCATGAAACATGGGGCATCATTGTGTTGTCATCCCCAAACGAAACCAACTACAAAGGGTGGGAGAAACAGATGTTTGCCAAGCGAATCATCATGAATTGCCCGGACGAGCTTGATGTGAAGGCGATGTGTGTCTGGGAGAGGCGTGTTGAGCCCGCAGAGGCGCAAGCGGAGCGCTGGGAGACGGTCAAAAAAGTACATGGATGATGTGGGACCGATATTACGCTGCATCTTCAATTTTACTGACTGGGAGCAACGCAATGCCGCCGCCAACGACGAGGTGAGGAGGATCAACGCTTTAAATGCTGAGTATTACATGCAAGTGGAATTTGCGGTCGATTGGACTGAGACCAATGCGTCTCACAAGCTCGTGAAAATTATT